TACGTCGACGCTAGGTTGGCCATGCTGGTCAGCGTGTCTGGATGCTCGTCCCCAAGCACCCTCTTTCTCGTCTCCATCACTTGCACGTCCAGCTCTTCGGCCTCCTTCCACCGCCCGTCATTGTACAAGGCAGTGGCACATTTCCATCCCAACTTTGTCTTAGCCTCGTTCTCTTGGCTAGTGAGGCTAGATGACAGAGCAAACGTAGCATGCGGAAGCAATCGTCTCCACTTGCTTCTGTTCCCATGATTATCGTCTGGGAACACCGCAAGCAGACGCCTAATCGCTATTTGACTTTGTTGACTCAGCAATCCCTCCTTTCTAAGCCAGTTGCGTGTCGAGATATGCACTAGTCGATGGATGTCCAGCGCCGATTTAGCCGTTCGTTTGGTGACAAATGAGTAATTGTTGAGGGTTCCTACTGCGTGTCTTCCCTGCTCATGCGATATGGCTGCCGGGAGAAGAGCAAGCGGAATATCGCTTCGGTTCACACACGCCATAAAGAGTAGATACTTAGCTGCCAAAGCATCGTGGCGACGAATCTGCTTGAACGAAATAAGCCAGGTTGCAGCTATTATGTCCTCAGATTTCCGATAAAGAGGTTCAACTGACCCCTCCCTTTTCTCAGCTAGTAGTGATAGATATTCTTGAAGCGTTGTTTTGTTAACGTTGACGTAGGCTGCTGCATGCACAATAGCTAGAGGGAGGTACTCCAGCCGTTTCAGCAAGAGGTCTGCCTTCTCTTTCTCATTCACCGGGTTGACCAAACACGTCTCCAACATTCTTCGAGCCATGTCCTGTTTCATCTCTGGCAACTCTACAATACTTCGTGGTGCCAGTTTTGCTGCTGTCTCCCTGTCAGTTGTTGTGAAGACAATGGCCCCCTGCGCAGAGCTTGGTAGGAACTCCATCAGGCCGACTGCCTGAGCCTCGTTCATGTTGTCAAAAATGAGGAGCCAGTGCCCTGCGCTCTTGTTGCTTAAGTGGATTTGTACCAGCTTCCTGACATCTGTCTTCTCATCTAGAATATTAAGCCGTCGAGCAATGTGCGCATACGATTGATAGAGGCTCTCCTGATCGCTTGCAGATATCCAGAAGACTGAGCAGCTCTTAAGCTCTAGTCTAATTCTATGCGCCAACTCCAGCGCTAGCTGTGTTTTGCCTATCCCACCCGGGCCTGTAATTGCGACCTTTGTAGTTGATGCTTCGACGAAGAGCTTTCCTTCCAGCTCGGCCAGTTGCGATTCGCGACCAGTAAATCGAGCGTTTTGGTCAAATGGTACGATAAACGGCGCGGTGTTGGCTGCGGGCTAGGCTTTAGCAATTATTCGAAAAACTGGTGTAAACGGTACCTTTCTCCATTTCCTCCTGGAGTCGCTCCTGTGCTCTCTCTATTCCTTCGCCGTATCTAAACTCCATGGACACACCAAAAATTCCAATTAAAGAGTACGCCATATCTTCTTCTTGCGTTGTTTGACGGCCCGCCATCCATGCCATTCGCTCGGGAACGCTAACTTCGTTAAGAGGATCGCCCCGTAACACTATAACCGGGATGCGAGTAATCTCATGGATCTGCTGCTCGAGGGAGTCTTTGTCCCCAAGTCGCTGACGATCTAAGGAAAAGAACTCGATTGATGCTGGAGCTAGGAGTTCTTGAAGTGTCCAGCCTCGAGTAAACCATTTGCTCTTTCGAAAGGATGCATCCCATGTACCCTCGTGCAGATGTGCATCTGCTATAGGCGTCGAGACATCCGAGAGGAAAGCGTAGCATCTTGCCGCGTTCTTGTACCACCGGAACATGGAGTTTATTGCGTTTGAAAGCTCGCGGAGATTCCATTTGTCAATACAACAAGTGTCGACCCAGAAGTACTGTATATGGTCACGGGCCGCTTGTTCACCGCAGAACAGAATCTTTTCATAGCCAGCCGTGCCATGTCCAGTGCCATTCACCAGATCTTCGAAGAGAAACTCGTCATCACCCCAGGTGTGGGAAAGAATGGCGTATGGCGGAATTGTTTTGCGGCTAAAATTTGTCGAGAGGAGTCGCCCGGAACCATCAAAGTAAAGGAGTCGCATCGCAGCAACAAAGAGAGCGGGCAATCTGTACGGAATCCGGATGGATGGCTACGGGATCGCAGGGGAGATAGTAGCGCTCTATGTATCATGATGGTGGGCTGTGTGAAGGCTGTGTGAAGGCGTTAGACAGGCTCAGCCGCACCATCACGTGCTACAGAAGTAGATAAGCATGCTGGCCAGTAGTACTTAATAGTGCTGAGAGGAGTTTGCTACTAGATCTTGCCACCACATACAAGGAGGACGGCCGACCCGCACCGGCCACACTCTTTGTCAGCTCAAGCTGTGGTAAGTTAGAGAAGTACCGTGACAGATCACGTGGCTAGGCTAATCGTGCCTAGATACGTAAGGTGGGGTACTAAGGCCCCGATTAGCCATACGTTTACAGCCACAAGCTTGGCTTGCCGGATGACATAAGTAAATTACACTACGATGCTTATGTTAGACTTGCGGGGTTGTTTTGCCCTAGCTGGTTTAGTAATTGCTTCCGACCGGAAGTACTGACCAGGGTGGCGACCTTGCATGAACTTGCGTGCGAAAGCAGCCACAAGGCTGATGATAACTTCCTAGTATGATAGCGGGGTTCTAAGGCTCGGATAAGGCCCTTTTATGAGCATTAGGAGTGATAGGAGCTCGATAGTGGTGCTATGGCGACGGAATTTAGTTACGCCGTGAATAAAGGCTCTCCGCAAATCAGACGCGAAGGCAATAACGCGAACGTAATTTTTAGGTAGGAGGTGTTCTAAACGTTTAGGAGTGGCTACAGTACACTATTTATATAGAGTTATGGGAAATTTCGATGTGTGCGCAGAGTCTGAGCTGTTTAAAGTCAATGTACCCCTTATGTTTTCCGGCACGGTGGGTTTTCCGTGACCTAGGGACGGACGTTACCCATTGATTTTCTCGCTACGCAGGGTTTCTCGCTACGCAGGGTTTCTCGCTACGCAGGGACGCACGTTACCCCTCATTTTTCTCGGCACGGTGGTTTCTCACCACCCAGGGACGGACGCTAGTTATATGGAGTTTACCCTGTTTTTAACGTGCCGTAGCGAGAACCTTATGGAACTCGACGGTCACTGGCAAGACAACCACCGCAATTCATGCTATTCTAACTCAACAGTGAACTGTATCCTCCTTTGCTAAATCGCATCACACCCGCTGGAGTTGGCAATCATTATTAGGTAATAATAGAGTAGGAGTCGCCGTAATACTCGCCGCTTAGAAAGGAGAACGGGAAATTCTATTAGGTAAATTACACTGTCTGCATTCGAGGCGTATTTATGTAGATAGGTGGCCCGAACGGGCTCCTAGAAGCCTGAAAGAGATGTTTTCGAATAGTAGGTGAGCAGTGGGTGAGCAGTGGGTGAGCAGTGGGTAAGCAGTGGGTGAGTAGTGGGTGAGTAGTGGGTGAGTAATCGGCGATGGGCGAGATGAGCCTATAAGAACCAGATAAGCTACGGACTTTAGAAGAGCCCAAACAGGCCCGGCATATCTATAATCTTAAATACTCCCATGTTTTTAGATAATCGCCTCGCATTGACGGATTGTAGCGCTAAGCGAACATTACAACCAGTTAAGACTTGTCATTCAACCCAAAATCTTCCCTTCGGGCGAGAAACCATGAAGAAGACTGCCGACCAACTCGACGATGAAAACTTCCGCCGGCAGAACCTTACGTTCGCAGAGAAGGGAAATAGACTTAAAGGGAAATTTGGCGCTGATATCTTCATCCTGGTACGGCGGAAAGGAAAGCTTACGATCTATACATCTCGCAATTCTCCTAACGATCCTCAGTGGCCCCTTCGGCCAGAAGACATCGCAAGGTACTATCCTTTGCCGGTGATTAAGACACCTGCGGCATTTAAAAATCATAGAAGAAGAACAAGAATTGCGCCACAGATATTACAACAGAATGTAAGACTTAAGGGGACGATACGAACGGAGTTTAAGAGATCTAAGGAAACCCGATTTAATAAGTAGGAAAGTATATAATTTATAGAACTATAAAAATATACACCTCTACTGTCTAATATTATCTTGCTATTTTCTCTTTATTTTTTTATCGCTCTCGCTTAATAGTATAGGATTAATAACAGAAAGGTTAATACTAGATTACTCAGGTTGAAATTGATGTGAACTCTGATTTCTATAGACGTCTAGCTAGTTGTATATATACTAGGGGAAGGAAGGGGGGCCACCCCTGGGTGGCGCGCTAGTAAGTTCAGCTGAACACTGCACAGCTGATGTTCGGAGTAGCTTTCTAGCATATGAGTTGTTGATCCTAGGTTGTAGTGCTGCAACCTGAGTAGATTAGGATAACGGAGTCGGGATACCGTTGCTGATATTATCTCCGGATTCCCCTCGCCTTCCACTATCCCCTCTAATCGAGCTGATCGAGCTGATCGAGCTTAGTAAGCTTAATAAGCTTATTAACCAACGTCTAGGCCTGACGCCTGCCGCTTCCATCCTATTAGGTTTTCTCCTCTTCCTTCCGCCGATTTTCGGCTTAGTGTCTGGTAATAGCTCCGCTACTAAGAAGTACCGGGAGACTTCGCCATGATTTAATTCCATATATTTATTCCATGCGGCAATTCCAGTAATACACGCTCGTGACCTCTGCTTCTAGTCGCCTTGGCCGCCACTATAACTAAGGCACGATATTAATTCTAAAAATAGGGCGAGGACGTGTTTCTTTTTAAAATATGTACTAATACCTCTAAGCGGATAAGAGCTATTATACAGGAGGCACAGGATTAACTGCACAGTTATTCTATTCTTAACCTCCCTTTTTTTCTTTCTCCTAACGGGTGGGATTCCTATAGTCTAGATCCGAGCGTTTTTGCTATAGGCCGAGAATATATACGCATCCTATGCAGAGCATCTATTAATTATTATACTCTGCTTCTTATTACCGCCCTGTCCGTTACAGCTGCATAATTAGCAGGGGAAAGGCGTTAAAAAGATAGCGCTAGCTACCCTAGCACGGACGTAGGCTCTAAAATGCGTATAAACCCCTTTTAGTTTAAAGTATACCCTATAGAAGGAACAATATAATATCCTTTTATTTAAAATTGGATCTGTCTGTAAACTCGGCGCATAATCTTTACTGTAGGCCGTCTTAATATAGCTGCTCCAGGAAGAGGCGCTGATAATTATATGGTTTAGCATGCCGCTTTAACAATATTTAGGACACGGGAATAGGTTGTTAAACTTCCTTTTCTTAATATGCATCGCCTTGCAATATGCTATAAGGGTGGACCGATTTAAAAATAATTTTTATACGTATAAAAGGCATAGAGCTTTTTTTTTCCCTTTTAAGAATAACTCTTCTATAGACTAGTTCCTGGCAACTTTGCTGTATGCTAAGGAGATATATAAATTCCACGCGGAGCATCTATTAATTATAACGATTTGCTTTTTATTGCCCTGTTTATTACTACAAGCTAAGCATATAAAAGGACTTAAGAAAATAGCGCTAGCTGCCCTAGCACGGATATAGCTCTTAGTATATTAACCTGTCACGGTATCGACCGCGACACCCTACCTACCGAAATTCTGCCGCAGATTGCTACAACTCCAGCAATCTGCACCGGCCTACTACCGTTGGCCGGCCTCCTGCCCTGCCTACCCTGCTCCGCTCCCGTCTCGCTTCCGCTTCCTATCCTGTCCCGCTCCAGCCACCTACCGGCTGCCCCCTTTTCCTATCACCTGATCTGGTAAGGACCTCGCGTACACGCGTGCCACGCGCCGAAACGGCATAGAGGCCGTACGCCACGCGCTCGGCCACGCCCTTATATCCGGTGGCCCGTCTCCCGTCTTCCTGTTCCTTACACAACGTCTTGATTCTCCACGTAGCATTGTACATAGCACCTAATCAACGCTCCTCTTTGAGCCCTCGACCTCTCGCGTGTAGCGCTATCGTGACATAACCGAACCTGCTTTGTTAAAGGTATAATCTATAGAAGGGACAGCATAATTTTATCTTATCTACAGCTAAATGCAAATATATACGCAAATTTGGCGCATTTTCTTTGCCGTGGGCCATTTTAACATGGCTGCTCTAAGATAAGGCGCTGGTTATCTAATAATCCGGTTTACTGCTTCGGCGACACTTAGGATATAGGAAATTGTGGTTAAATATCTTCTTATATCCCTTAATCCGCTGCTTCTGGCGCAACGCTTGGGCCACATAGCTCGGCCAATAAGAAGCCCTTAATCGAGCCCCTTGTGATGAGATGTACGATGGTTTGAGGTTATTCAGATTCGTCGATTTCTATGTACATAGCTGCTTGTATAGCTAGTCCTTAGTGGTGAGCTTAGCCACGTGCTCGCTCCAGCACCTCCCCTTCTTGCACAAGGGAATATGGCATACAGAACACCCCCAATTCGTCCTTGGCGGCCGCTGACGGCGCTTCCAACCACGGCTATCCTCTCTACTCTTCATTGTAGTGTTAATTGATAGATCTGCGAGTGGTTTCCGATTACCGCGATGAGGCTGTGAGCTTGTGCGGTGCTTGTATGAACAGGCAGCGCACGTAGGCTGCTTGGTGAACTGTTTTACAAGCTGATGCTCCCTGACCGGCTTCCACACAATATCCATCCACCCTTTCATGCCCTCCTTACTAGGTGGCTTACGTACACAAACAGATGCATGCAGTAAGGCGTCTCGTAGGTCTCGACAGAATTGTAGATGCGAATCTCGTCGAAGGGCTCGCTCACCGGAGCCCGGCTCAGGCCTATATGAGGAGAGCATGTAGCTATTGCCCACAGCTATATCTAATAGGAAACTAAATAGTGGCTTCCAGGTCTTCCTATAGACACGATTTATATTGTAGTAGCTGCGTAACTGGTCTGCAATATCAACCCCGCACATCCAGAGGTTGTACTCCTCGATAAACTCTGGTATATCAAGCACCGCTCTTGGCTGATTTCTGAACATCTTTACGGTTTGCCTGTAGCCCTTATTGGTAGTAGCTGGGCGCCTCCGTAGCTTGGCGACGTAGTTCTGGCCATCATGAACTGTGGAGAGGAATAAAACAACCGTTGCATCCTTCCAAGCGAATTCCATAACCTTGTGACTCTTTGATAATTCCGCATATAGCTGGCCCCACGGAATCTGCTTATCATGACTTAATTTGAGGTCTGTGAGTGATGGAGAGAATTTCTCAGCAGGAACCTTGGTAGCCTATGCTAGCACTGGGTGCCTACGTTAGTATGCATTAGTATATGATAGCTGGAATACTCTGGAAGATTCTATACAATATCTATATTACCAATCATCGCCACTCTCATTTCCTTCCCACTATATATACAGTCCGTACGTAGTCAATACAACATATGTGAGGATGGAGGTGAAACACTCAGGTTAAATTGATGTGAACTCTGATTTCTATAGACGTCTAGCTAGTTGTATATATACTAGGGGAAGGAAGGGGGACACCCCCAGGGTGGCGCGCTAGTAAGTTCAGATGAGCCCTGCACAGCTGAGGCTTCAGCTCGGTTCTCTACAGCTGAGATTTCAGCTGGGTTCTCTACAGCTGATGTTCGGAGAGTAGCTTTCTGGCATATGAGTTGTTGATCCTAGGTTGTAGTGCTGCAACCTGAGTCACCCCCCAGCAACGA